GTTCAGAAATGAGAGGAAGGGATGAGGGAAAGAAAAGATAGGTACAAGTTTTCGTACCCACTCACTGTCCTAATAAATTTCATGATTTCACACAAAGGTTTGGTTTCTAGCAGTAAACAAGGAGTTATATTTGTCTGTCTCCTATTAAACAATCTTGTGGCCACTTTGACATAAGTTTCTTACACCTGCATTTATGGATTTATACAAATATAAATCTGTATATGCCAAATATAAATATATATGCCAAAGTGAAATGAAAATGAAACAGGTAATACAGCAAGTAAGCAATGAACTCAGAAGCTTAATCCTGACTTCTAATTCTCTGATCCCTATATTACTTTTGTCATTTAATATTTGATATCTAGTAATATGCTAGATGTCAAAGTTTATTACAGTAGGATTTAAAAAAATCATCTGTCCCTACAAAATACTTATTTATTTATTTATGTTTTTATTTTTTTTAATATGAAATTTATTGTCAAACTGGTTTCCATACAACACCCAGTGCTCATCCCAACAGGTGCCTTCCTCAATACCCATCACCCATCCTCCCCTCTCTCCCACCCCCCATCAAACCTCAGTTCTCAGGTTTTAAGAGTCTCTTATGTTTTGGCTCCCTCCCTCTCTAAACAACAAAATCTTTTTAAAAACTTTTAGGGGCATCTGGGTAGCTCTGTCAATTGAACATCTGATCTTGGCCTAGGTCATGATTTTACATTTCGTGAGTTCAAGCCCCACATCATACTCTGTGCTGACAGCTCAGAGCCTCAAGACTGCTTCAGATTCTGTGTCTCCCTCTCTCTGTGCTCTTCCCCCTCTCTCTCATGCTCTATCTCTCTCTGTCTCTCAAAAGTAATTAAACATTTAAAAAAGTACAACAATAAAATACTTTTAGAAATACACAGGTTCTTTAAGGACATGGTTTTAGAAATATACACACCTTTAGAAATAAACAGTTATTTTAAGGATATATAAATTCCTCCATAGAATGACCATGACTACTTCAAGTGTACTTTGATAGCATGAAATATGAAATATTTTTTAAGGAAACAAACCAGGAAGGGAGGCTACCAAAGATATAAGGATTATTTTTTCTATTAAAGTTTAACCTTAGAAAACTTAGCTAAATAGGGAAACAGGGAAGTATTTTCTTTGTATCTGTGCCAATATTGCAGAATATATATTTTTTAGAAAATCCTTTCCATTTAAAATCTTTAAAATTTGAAATGCCCAAATGGAAAAGCAGTTTCTTATAATTCATGAACTTTTTATCCATTATTAGACTATAAATTTTTTTGATGTTTGGGATATCCTGTATATGTGTGTATATACTTCAATGTCTTGCTCATACTAAGGACTCAACATAAATATTTGGGAAAATTAGACTTAATTTATTTCTAATTCTTTGTCTTTGATGGTTTGAGCCCATCTTCATAAAATCTAAGAAAGTAAAAAATAATGGGGGTACTTTATCACTTTGCCTTTTATTTTCTACATTGCTATGAAATTTCTAAAATATATATGAGTCATGTTTCTTTCTATTTAAATTCTAATTTGTGAGTTAAGGGACATATTATTTTTATGTTATAAACTTCTGATATATATGAATTTGTTACAACGAATGTGTATTACTTTGCCACAAGAAAGGAAAAAAAAAACCACAAATCTAATGCGGGGGGGTGGGAAAGACAGGAAAAAAAAGATTTAAAATTGCCCATAGGATAAAGTTTAAATGCTTTATACAGGTAGATAGGTCTTTTACCTGAGACTTCCAACTTTCTTGTTAAGTGTCATCTCCCCACTGGCACCCACCACTCACCCTGTACATATGTACACATATCCCTACTCTCCAGTGAAATGAACTATCTTTTCTAATGACACTATTATTTTTCCTTACAACTTGTTTTTTGGTGAGCACTTTATTCAATCTAGAAAAACATGCTCTCCCTTTTGTTTTCAATGAGATTCCTTCAAGACCCAGCTCAAAACACACTTTTTAGTCCACAGCAAAATTAGTGCTCTCTTCTGTATACCAGAAGTGCTATATTGCACAACAGCTTCCCCTGTTAACTGTGATCAGAGCAAGAACTGTGAGTCATATACATAAGGCATCTTTGTGCCTCTCTTCCTTTTCCTCGATGCCTGTGCCTGGCACACTACAAGCATTCAGTAATGCTTGCTAAGTGAATAAATAAATGCACTAACAAATTAATATCTTTTTTCTAAAGTAATAGAAATCATGTCTAGTGAATATTGTTAAAGTGGTTAATAAAGAGTAAAGTTTACTTAGCCTGAGAAGTAGTGCGGTGTATTGGCTAGAATTCCAGCTTTGAAATGAGACAGATCAGGGTTTGTTTTTAGAATCCACTAATTCCTAGCAGTGTGACCTTTGGCAAGTGACCTCATCTCAGTGGGTTTCACTTCTTTGATTTATATAAAGAGGCCAATAATATCTACCTTGCAGCCATTTGAAAATACCCTAATCACTTAGTCCAATGTCTGGCAAAACCCAAGTGCTCATTAGATGGTAGTTATTACTGTTAATTTTATCATCTTGTACAGAGTTTCAGTTTGGCTTATTTGTTACTGTCACACATTTTATTATCTATGCTAACTGTCTGAAATGAACATTCAGCTGTGTCATTAGTTTAACAAAAGGAGATCTTCCAAGAGATGAAATAAGAAGTTTGGGAGTCAATGGGGTGGTGAGGGGATTGGGGGTGAGATCAAGGGAACAGGAGAAACATAACTACTACCCAAATGGTCCCTGAAATTTTTATTCTAAGCCCCACCCTACCTTTTTAGGTTTATCTCAATTAGCTCTCTGCTGCAACAATCTTATTTGGCCCTTACACCTCCCCATTAGGGAGACTGGCATGCTGTAGGAAAAAGGGCACAGGCTGTGAAGACCCAACAGGTCTCTGCCACTTACTAACTTTGTGACTTTAGGCAAGTGAACTGGCCTTGTTGGGACTCTATTTTCTCATTGATAAAATAGGAGCAAACCTACTTTCTTCACTGGGTTATTCTGAGGCATAAGTTAATGTGTATGATATGCCTAATATTGTAGCTGGAAAATATTAGGGGCTCAATGAATGGTAGGCTCCTCATTTATCTCATTCTAGGGTTATGACTATGTATTTGATTATTTGTCTAAGTAAGTCAGAATCTCCTTCAAGTGGCCTTAGAAAGAGACTTTCAAAGGAATGTTGAAAACACAGAGGAAAAGCATTAGAGTTTACTTTGATCACTTTTTTATATCTTACCTAAAGCTCCCACCCTGGATTCCCCTCACCATGTAGTTTGTGGGAATGTGTATGTTTGTGTGATTTTAAGTTAGGACACTACCCCGTCTCAGGCCTATAAGAACATAAGTTCCTTTCATTGACTTGGCTCTCTGTGTGTCATGCAAGCAGCATGGTTAGCAGGGCAGAGCAACCTGTATATGTAGAGAGGTATAGTTGGCTACTAATGAACTGCATGTGTTGAAAGTTGATCCCTGCCACCTCATGTCTATGCACCAGCAAAAAGAGATTAACAGTCTTGAACCCTAGGGCAAATTTGCCTGGCGCAGAGAATAAGAACTTGTCACTTTACTGAGAAATTTGGGTCACTGAGGGGCCTCACTACCTTCTTCAGTGCTTTTGTTTGGTTAACTTATGAAGTCCAAAAAATTTCTTTAAAAGCTGCTCAATATCTCTGTTTATGCCCCCTTTATTTTTGTAGGAATTTTCCCTTCCTGTCACCCCTGCCCTCAGCACCACCTAGCTCTCAACTGAAACCTTTCCAACTTTTCCTCCCAATCTTCCCTAAACCCTCTTCTCAACTTCCCTCTACCTTTCCCCTAAACCCTCCATACCTTAACAAATTTCCATTTACCACAACTATTCCCCTACTCTCTCCATTGCCCCCTACCCCATCACCCACTGATCTGACTATTCCTGGAATATTCAGAACTTCACCCAAACGTTAAGCCTTTTCCAATCCCCTGTCTCCCAATTTACTTGTCCCTTTCCTCTTCCCTCAGCTAAACCATGAAATAATTCAAACAGCATTAGAAATTGTCAATGTTTATTGTGTTTTTAAAAAATATCACTTGCAATTTTATTTTCTTCATTGAGAAAATGTTGCAATTGTTGTGTTAAAGAAAATCTTGATAAAAAGTCAAGTCAAGCTAACAATTACACTTTTTCAATGTTAGTTTCTAATATTTATTTTCATGTATATTTTTAACATCAATTATAATTAAAACAGCCCCACATTAACACAGGGTTCAAGGTGGGGGCATGCAGAGTTGGTGAAAAAAAAACACAGCTCAAAGTCATCAGGTTTATTGCCTGATGTGAGATCATTGCATGATCAGAGAGGCAGTGTCATTGTACAAGTACCTTATTTCATTCTTAGAGATTCAGTGGAAGATTCTGAGAGCAGCAAATGCTGACGACAACTGAGGTATCAGAAGACAGGTCATTAGGAGCAGTCACTAGGACACAAGATCTATTCAGCACTTATTTCCTCATGACATCTTCTATGCCACCTGTGTCTGAAGCAATTGTAGTGACAATAATGGGATGGAAAGGACACAATGCACTCCACTCAGTGTTTGGATCATGTGTTTCAAGCCAGTGAATTCCAAGAATCAGAGGGTACCATGGCACATGAATAATGGCAAACTGGAGCTCTTCAACATGGTTTACAATTTTAACTTCCATAGTTGGTGTTTCCTTGGTTATGGGTCCATTAATCAGTGGACGCTCATTTACCATTTCAAGCATCAGAAGGAAGATATTATTGCAGATGGGCAGCTTCTCTCTAAGAACCACAAAATGGTCAATGCTGTTTCTGTAGCAGCCTGAATCCACCATTGCTTGCTCAAAGAACTGTCGTCTTCCCAGTAGGATTTCAACAGTAAGCCATAGGGTATGAGACATGGATATTGGAAGTGAGGGGAATGCATATTTGTAGATTGGCCCACTGGGGTTCCCCCTTACTGCTGAGCCTCAAATGTTTCCTTCCTGCTGTGCATGATGAAGCTTGACAGGACAATCTCTGGCAACATGACAAGGATGACCACAGCAGAGGCACAAGTGGGCTTCACAGCAGTGGGCTTGTTCAGCTTCACTGAGGTGTGCAATTGCTTGAAGGTTGCACAGGCTGGTTTTCAGCTAGTGAGCTTTTAGGCCCAGGTCTCTCCTCAGAGTGCCTTGCTCCTTGTGGATTTGGATCATGCTTACAGCTTATCTTCTAGGCACTGAGTGATCAGATTAGATAGGACAGTGGCTGGGCTTGTGTGAGACAGTTCATCTGGTATAGAACTGTCAAGCCCTTCCTGAAATTGTATGCAGAGAGTGCTTTCATTCCAGTTTAGCTCTTGAGCAATGAGATGGAAGTGGATCACATACTGATGCGCAGGATCCTCCCTTTGGCAGAGCTGATGGATGCAGTGACTGACATATTCCATGTTTTCTGGATTGTCAAAAGTATCCTGGAGCACTGTATGAAATTTTCAAATTGCTCCAGCAGGGGGCTTTGTATATCTAGTAAGGGCTGAAATCACATCCCTGCCTCATCTGAGAAGCACCTGCCAACAAAGCTCATCACAGATGCTTCAGTAGGTTACATGTAACTGACTCTCATGTAACTATTCAATTGAACCAGGAACTCAGAAAGCTTCTGGACATCTCCACTGAAGGCTAAACAGTATTCTAGGGAGAAAGCTTCAGCCTCCAGCTCACTGGGTTACTGTGGGAACTCTGAACCTGCTGATGTCAAAGCAGCTATTAGACACTTTAGGGACTCCTGGAGTGCGGAGGGCTCTAGGAATTCTTGGGCATCTAAAGTATCCAGGGGCTCATGGAGCACTCTAGGTTCCAGTAACTCCTGGAGAGTTGGAAGCTTAGGGGTTCCAGGTGCGTTGCGGTTTCCTGGTACCTCCTGGGGCTCCTGGAACTTGGAAGATCTTGGTGTTCTGAATTCTGGGCCTTCTGGGCCACTGGGACATCCCAGGTATCTGGGAGCTCCTGAGTCTTCTTAACTTCTAGGGCTTTGTAGGGTTCCTGGGCCATTGGATGCTTCTGGAGATTTTTGACCTGTATGAGATTTTGGAATTTCAGGCTGCTGAGAGCTCATAGACCACTGAAGGTTCCTGGGACTCATGAGTTCCTGGAAGCTCCAGGGACTCTGGGGCTGCTGAGGGTTCCAAAGTCTTCTTTGTCTCCTGTACCACTGGTGTTTTCTGATGCTCCTGGGAAGCTAGGGGCTCCCAGGCTGGGAGCTTCTGGGGCTCTCTGAGATATGAGGGATCCTCAACTCCTGGGAATTCTTGGTGCTCTCAGACTATTGGGAGATCCAGGGGTTCTGGGGGTTCCTAGGATCCTGGGTCTCTGAAGGATTCTGGAGTGGTTGAACCTCCTTGGTTGTTCAGGGATCCTGGAGCTCTGGGATCTGAGCCTATAGGACAACATTTTGTTCCATTTGCCACTGCACTTGGGCCTTCAGAATTTTATTCTTGAACTTCAAAGCAATACAGGAGGCAGCTAAGTCCTCCACCATCTGTGGAAATGGGCTTTGTTTGGCAGTTTGTTACCAAGGGAAAATTGGGTAGTTCTTCTAAAAGCTCCTTTTAGAAAAAGATCCTTTCTAAAAGATGTCAGGCTCTGTGAATTTTCCAGGCAGTAGGGATTTGGGCCCCAGCATGGTTGATTTCCAGGTCACCTGGAGCTTCCAGTGGTCAGCAAAGGTGTGAAATACACTGTAAAGAGAGTGGGATCTGAAGATGAGAAACTGTGGAAGGCACTCATGAGGAGGAACAAAATAAATCAGAACAAAACCTGCCTAACAATGCTGGGTTTCTGTTACTACAGGTTCATATTCATGAGGTGAGTCATATATGCTGGTTCTGACCCCATGACATTTTAAGTACAACATCTGATCCAGACTGTGTATGCCAATTTGCATTCTTCTTTTAGCTTTTAATTTTTAAAAATTTATTTAAAGTTCATTTATTTTTGAGAAAGAGAGAGAGAGAGAGAGAGAGCAGGGGAGGGGCAGAGAGAGAGGGAGATACAGAATCCAAAGAAGGTTCCAGGCTCTCAGCTTTCAGTACAGAGCCTGATGCAGGGCTCGAACTCACCAACTGTGAGATCATGACCTGAGCTGAAGACAGAAACTCAACTAACTGAGCCACGCAGGCACCCCTGGCCTTCTTCTTTTAAAACTTAACATTAGAATCAATTTCACCATAATCTTTTCTGTTTTACACAGTCTTTATTATATCTGCTTAATATCCCAATATAATATTTGTTTTTTAACAGCTGCTTTTGGTGATTAAATCAAATGTTGGAAGATGTGGAGATTTTAGGTTCTGTGGTGTGCCAACCCAAGAGATATTTTGGGGTGGCTGAGGTAGAAACTCTTTCTGACACCTCAGAAATCATACCACATAAGTAACCGCACAAGACCAGCCTCAGGAGAAAATAAGCAAAAGTTGACTAAATATATATATGCGCTTAGCAGACACATGCATATTATTTATAAAATGTCTCAAACTTAGTCCAGGAGCTCGGCTATCTGTGTACCCATCGTTGAGGAGGAAAATGTTTAAATGGCTGTGGAGGCTTGCCTTTCCTGCACACACTGAACTAAACCAAATACACCCACTACCAGAACACATTCCAACTTCCCTCTGTAACCTAGCTATATAGAGTGTGGAAGAGGTTTTTTTGTGTTTGTTTGTTTGTTTGCTTGTTTGTTTTTCACAGTACCTCACAGTTTAAGACCACAGGGAAAATGAGATGCTGCACTGATGTGAGGTAGCCTGATATACTCTGTCCTTGGTTAATTTAATAAATATTTGACTAGGAAATTGGGAATAATACCACAACCCCTGGAAAAAGTTGCGAACATTTCTGAATGACCACAGTGGTTTGGGACATTATTTTTTATGTCTGTCTCATGTAACCACCCCTTAATCCATCCACACTAGGGCGTTTGTTTAATTCTTAGAGTGCAACCTACAGTCCCTCAGCACCTTCCACATCCCACCTACTCAGTCCCTAGGATCCCTTCCTGACATGTTTTATTGGGATCTTTACCATGAATAGATCTAGGCAAGGTATAATAGGGTAAGATTGTGGATGAGGCCAACTTTGTTGTACTTGTTGCAGTCTTGCAGGGCCCCTGACTTATTCTGAATGTCTTGGCCCAGGGTTCTCATTCTTTCCTGAGCCACTCAGGTGCACCAAGCAAACCCCAGGTACCCCAGGCCTCTTGAGAAGTGACCTTCTTTTCTCATGACAAATTATAATCACATCCTGAATCTGGGCCACATGACCATTTTAGGTTGGGCAATGGGAGAGATATTTTTGCCCTAGTAAAGAGTAGGGTTGGGGATTGACTTTTCCAACTTCAAATCACACATCTATTCAGTCATGTTCCCAAGTCTCCTTTTAAAATGGTCGTTTCCGAAGATGGCGGCTTAGGAGGATGCTGGGCTCACCGCGCATCATGCTGATCACTTAGATTCCACCTACACCTGCCTGACTAACCCAGAAAACCACCAGAAGACTAGCAGAATGGAGTCTCTGGAGACAAATGCAGACGAGAGGCCCACAAGAGGGTAGGAAGAGCGGAGAGGCGGTGCACGCTACACAGACTGGCGGGAGGGAGCCGGGGCAGAGGGGCAGCCCACCAGCCAAGCAGAGCCCCGAGTCTGGCTGGCAAAAGTGCAGGGGCTGAATGGAGTGTGTTCCGACAGCAAGCAGGACTTAGAATCTGGGAGGTCATAAGTTAACAGCTCTGCTCAGAAAGCGGGAAGGCTGGAGGACAAAGGGAGGGAGAGTTGCTGAGCCCTGGGATGACAGAGCTCAGTTTGGCGGGGAACAAAGTCGCTAGCCAGCGCCATCTCCCTCGCCCATCTCCCCACCAAAATCCCAAAGGGAACTGGTTCCTTCCAGGGAACTTGCTTGCTCCCTGCAAACACCCAACGCTGTGCTTCTGTGGAGCCAACCCTCCAGCAGGGGGTCTGCCTCCCTCCCGCTGCCACAGGGCCCCTCCTGAAGTGGATCACCTAAGGAGAAGCAAGCTAAGCCTGCCCCTCCTGCCCCCGTGCACCTTGCCTACCGACCCCAGCTAAGACGCCAGATCCCCAGCACCACAAGCCTGGCGGTGTGCAAGTAGCCCAGACGGGCCACGCCACCCCACAGTGATCCCGCCTCTAGGAGAGGGGAAGAGAAGGCACACCCCAGGCTGACTGTGGCCCCATCGGTGGGTTGGGGGCAGACATCAGGTCTGACTGCGGCTCCGCCCACCAACTCCAGTATACACCACAGCACAGAAGTGTCCTGCAGGTCAGTACCGCTCCAGGGACTATCCAAAATGACCAAACGGAAGAATTCCCCTTAAAAGAATCTCCAAGAAATAACAACAGCCAATGAACTGATCAAAAAAGATTTAAATAATATAACAGAAAGTGAATTTAGAATATGGTCATGAAATTAATCGCTGGGCTTGAAAACAGTATAGAGGACAGCAGAGAATCTCTTGCTACAGAGATCAAGGGACTAAGGAACAGTCACGAGGAGCTGAGAAACGCTTTAAACGAAATGCATAACAAAATGGAAACCACCACGGCTCGGATTGAAGAGGCAGAGGAGAGAATAGGTGAACTAGAAGATAAAGTTATGGAAAAAGAGGAAGCTGAGAAAAAGAGAGACAAAAAAATCCAGGAGTAGGAGGCGAAAATTAGAGAACTAAGTGATACACTAAAAAGAAATAATATACGCATAATTGGTATCCCAGAGGAGGAAGAGAGAGGGAAAGGTGCTGAAGGTGGACTTGAAGAAATAATAGCTGAGAACTTCCCAAAAACTGAGGAAGGAAAAAGGCATTGAAATCCAAGAGGCACAGAGAACTCCCTTCAGACGTGACTTGAATCGATCTTCTGCATGACATATCACAGTGAAACTGGCAAAATACAAGGATACAGAGAAAATTCTGAAAGCAGCTAGGGATAAACATGCTCTAACATATAAAGGGAGACTGATAAGACTCGTGACTGATCTGTCTACTGAAATTTCGCAGGCCAGAAAGGAATGGCATGAAATCTTCAATATGATGAACAGAAAAAATATGCAGTCGAGAATCCTTTATTCAGCAAGTCTGTCATTTAGAATAGAAGGAGAGATAAAGGTCTTCCCAAGCAAACAAAAACTGAAGGAATTTGTCACCACTAAACCAGCCCTACAAGAGGTCTTAAGGGGGATCCTGTGAGACAAAGTACCAGAGACATCATTACAAGCATAAATCATACAGACAGCGCAAAGACTCTAAACCCATATCTTTCTATAATAACACTGAATGTAAATGGATTAAATGCGCCAACCAAAAGACATAGGGTATCAGAATGGATAAAAAAACAAGACCCATCTATTTGCTGTCTACAAGAGACTCATTTTAGACCTGAGGACACCTTTAGATTGAAAGTGAGGGGATGGAGAACTATTGATCATGCTACTGGAAGCCAAAAGAAAGCTGGAGTAGCCATACTTATATCAGGCAAACTAGACTTTAAATTAAAGGCTGTAACAAGAGATGAAGAAGAGCATTATATAATAATTACAGGGTCTATCCATCAGGAAGAGCTAACAATTATAAATGTCTATGCGCCGAATACCGGAGCCCCCAAATATATAAAACAATTACTCACAAACAGAAGCAACCTTATTGATAAGAATGTGGTAATTGCAGGGGACTTTAACACTCCACTTACAGAAATGGATAGATCATCTAGACACACGGTCAATAAAGAAACAAGGGCCCTGAATGACACATTGGATCAGATGGACTTGACAGATATATTTAGAACTCCGCATCCCAAAGCAACTGAATATAGTTTCTTCTTGAGGGCACATGGAACATTCTCCAAGATAGATCATATACTGGGTCACAAAACAGCCCTTCATAAGTTTACAAGAATTAAAAATATACCATGCATACTTTCTGACCACAATGCTATGAAGCTTGAAATCAACCACAGGAAAAAGTCTGGAAAACCTCCAAAAGCATGGAGGTTAAAGAACACCCTACTAAGGAATGAGTAGGTCAACCAGGCAATCAGAGAAGAAATTAAAAAATATATGAAAACAAACCAAAAAGAAAATACAACAATCCAAACGCTTTGGGACGCAGCGAAGGCAGTCCTGAGAGGAAAATACATTGCAATCCAGGCCTATCTCAAGAAACAAGAAAAATCCCAAATACAAAATCTAACAACACACCTAAAGGAAATAGAAACAGAACAGCAAAGGCAGCCCAAACCCAGCAGAAGAAGAGAAATAATAAAGATCAGAGCAGAAATAAACAATATAGAATCTAAAAAACTGTAGAGCAGATCAACGAAAACAAGAGTTGGTTTTGAAAAAATAAACAAAATGGACAAACCTCTAGCCAGGCTTCTCAAAAAGAAAAGGGAGATGACCCAAATGGATAAAATCATGAATGAAAATGGAATTATTACAACCAATCCCTCAGAGATACAAACAATTATCAGGGAA